TATCTAGGTGTAATCTTCGATAAGAGAGTGACTTGGAGATTACACATAGAAATGATCGAAGCCAAGGCCTTCAGAACATTCATTAGAGTATATTCCCTATTCAAATGAGAGCCATTGAGCGCTAACATTAAAATGACCCTCCACAAAGCTCTCATGAGATCCGTAATGAGTTATGCTAGTCCCGCCTGGGAGTTTGCGGCAGGCACCCATCTAGTGAAATTGCAACGCCTGCAAAACAAGGTTCTCCGCACCATTGGCAATTTTCCAAGGCGCACACCGGTCCGCTATTTGCACGTGGCATTCAAAATCCTGTACGTATATGACTATATAACAAAATTATGCAGGAAACAAGCAGAAGTCATACAAAATCATGAAAATGAGAATGTTCGCAACATAGGACAAAGCGAAGCCCGACACAGAAAGTATAAGAGGCTTAAACTTGGCGGCGGTCAGGCGTACGACCGTTCAAGTGACTAGACTGCCGTGGTAGCGAATACTACTAGAAATAGGGCAAAATCTGCTGTACTGAGTCTTGTATATATTGCACAAAGAAATATGAATTAAGATTAAATTTGTAAATATATGTAAATACTGACAGTGAACTTACTAATACTGACTATGACTGACAAATGACAGACACGACCTCTCGTCAGAGAGGGCGCCCCAAATGGGCAGGACAGTAACTTTCATATAAGGAAAAGAAAATCTGGTCATGAGCCCCAGCCGGGTCTCGACACCAAGACAGACAGACAGACAGACTGCTCGTCAGCCGCAATGTGACTTGGACTTGAGACTCACGACCAGTATTTTTATTTATAGTTCTTACGTAACATCCTCTCTAACGAGAGAACGGGTCTGTCGTTTACAATTGCTGGTGGTCCTCGTCAGTGAAGCCATTCTCAGTTCCGAGTCCCGCGGGACTCATGACCTGGAGGGCCAGGTCCCCGTATTTATACTCCCGAGGAACAGGGTGGCCCGGTCATACCCCCAGACACTGGGTTCCCTTTTCGTCACAGGGCTCCGGTGGAGGCATTCTACCCCGCCTCAACGCTGGAAAATGGACTGACCCTCACTATAACATCTCGGTAGTGATCGCTCAGAAAACACCGTTCCTCTGTTGCTGTTCCTAATTGCTGCCATGTCAACATGCTTGTTTGAAAAGCAGTTACTCAGTAACGGCTGTTGTATAGCCGCTTCTTTTGCAGTCGTTGCCTAGCAATGGGATATACAAGCCACAATACTTACGTATGTGTGGACCTCTATATTCATGTAGGAGGAAACTTCGTTTAATTATTATTTAGAATAAAATAATTCGGCATATTTTGGCATGTACGCGAGCCCACTGTTGATTGTTGAATATACAAATTCGGAAAGGTACATATGCCTTCAATTCTGTTTAGTTACTCCTAAAAACTTTGTAAAAATATAATTAGAATGATCAAGTCTAGGAGGATGAGACGGACAGGGCATGTAGCACGCATGTGGAAGAACATGAATGCATGCAGGATTCTGGTGGGAAAGTCAGAAGGAAAATGTGCATTAGGAATACCAAGCCGTAGCTATGAGACTATCATAAAATTGATCTTAGGCAAAGAGGATGGGCTGGTGTGCATTGGATTAATATGACTCATTATAGGAACCAGTGGAAAGCTGTTGTGAACATGGCAATGAACCTTCGGGTTCCATACAATGGTAGGGTATTCTTGAGTAGCGTCACAACTAGTGGCTTCTCAAGGCCATCAGCTCCATGGAGTTTTCTCGAAGACCGCTAGACCTATGGGAGAAGCGTGTATACCCGTTTCTAAGCAGTGACTCGGTAAACAGCGGCGTTGTTAGGTAACGTCCGCAACATACACGCACGCAGCAATAGAGCGGTGTTTTCTATGTGGTCTGCGCCGCGACCGTTGCTATGCAACGGTGCGGTAAACACCTCTACAACCATAGCGGGACTGTGGTTTCTGCGTGGTCCGTACCTAGGAGTTATCTGGAAGACAATTTGCGCTGCAATTCAGTTACGGGATATTCCTCAGAGGCTAACGACTTAAGAATAGAAACCTGAGAACCTTCATTGTTAAGATTCGTTACCAGCAAATATCTAGTGAAAGCAGACTGAGATTTGTAATGTGGGAATTAGCAATAGTGTCATTGTTATTTGTCACTGAGAAAATTAAGTATATGTTGCTGACTCGTCACCAAAATGCAGGGCAAAATCATGACATAAAGATAGGTAACAGATATTTTGAAAATGTGGCACAGTTCAGATATTTCGGAACAACGATAACAGATCGAAACCTGATTCAGGAGGAAATTAAGAGGAGATTTAACTCGGGTAATGCTTGCTTACCATTCAGTCCAGAACCTTTTGTCTTCCCGTCTGCTGTCCAAAAACATAAAAATTAGAATATACAAAGCTATAATTTTGCCTGTGGCCCTGTATGGGTGTGAAACTTGGTCTCTGACATTAAGGGAGGAACACAGACTAAGGGTGTTGAGGAGAATATTTGGACCGAAGAGAGATGAAGTGACAGGAGGTTGGAGAAAACTGCATAATGAGGAGCTTCATAACTTGTACTCTTCTCCAAGTATAATTAGAATGATAAAATCAAGGAGGATGAGGTGGGCATGGTATGTAGCATGAATGGGGAGAAGAGGAATGCATATAGGATTTTGGTGAGAAAGCCAGAAAAAAAAGACTCTTAGGAAGACGAAGACATAGGTGANGTTATTTGTAGTTCCGACCTGTAAGTGGTCAATAAATCTATTCACCAATCAAAAACCCGTCTATAATCATCCCTAAGTCGTGAAAATAGAAAGTGTGTGTTCAGATTTTGTCTTCACCTTTTTTGTGCGGAACAGTTTTCGTTCTGATAAACATTTAGCGAGTTACACACGAAATGTGGGCAGATAAGTATGTAGGTGTTTATGTGAAGTGTCCACTACTGTCGTCCGCACTAAGTAGAAAATGAAATGGCTCTCAATATTCCGTAAAACTATTATATGTGAAGTTTAATTAAAATCGGGTTATCTGTTTTTCATGCATACAGACGGAGAGATTGACGGCACAAATTTTGATATCACTTGGCAGGGCTGCGAGTGGGGATATAAAAAGAGGAAAGATTTAGTAACTGGCTATTCTTAATTCTAAAAATGGATTCGGCTATAAATTCCCATCATTTTTACACATCACATGGCTCCTGTTTGCTGGCTGATGATAAATGTACTTCGTCAGCAGATATCTTCTTAGTTTTCATACAGTTAATGGATTCTAATTTTTTTGGTTACAGATTGCTAAGGTCAATCTACCATGTTTTTTCCTCTTCTTTAACAGCGCGGAAATCGAATTTATAACACAGTATTGTACAGCCACAAAGTGATATATGACTGTGCTGACTACAAACAAAAGCAGACGCTTTTCTGCCACGAATCCAAATTCGCATACAAAGAAAGATCTATCGATGATGCGGCTAAGGAAATTAGATTAATGTAAAGAGAATTACATTTCGATAAGTAAAATATATCGTAAAAGCCATCTCTCTAACAGGCCGTGTAGACCCATTGGGTTATGAGATATCGAGGCTTCCACATTTTCTAAACAATCGGCTCACAGATGGTGAGGTTAAGTAAGCTATTCCTGTAACAGGCAGTGGAGACCCATACGGTTGTGAGACGTCGAGGCTCCCACATTTTCTAGACAATCGGCTCACAGATGTCTGTAAGGTTGCTTTAAGTGCTGGCTGTCCTTTACCCCCAGGAAGATTCCTGGTACTCATTTCTGTTAGGGGCTAAGTCGATCCGAGTGCCATAATGTAGCCTGAAGGATTAGGTAAATTGAAAAATCCAATGACCTCAGCAGGAATCGAAACCACGATCTTCCACCTTGCAACCTAGTGTCTCAAGCAACTAAACTACCACTTGGTTGACAAAGAATGTGGAAGGGGCAAGGCCTAATCTGAAGTACTGTCACAGCATCTGGTAAGAAGGACCGAGGAAAATCATGATAAACCTCAGTTCAGTGTAGCTGGCATCTTGGTTGAGTGTGTCCCCAGGCACCTCACAAATTCAAGTCAGGAGCATGACTGCTTGAGCTAGCTTGCTAAGCCTTTTTGGTAGGTAATGAATCAGTACAAGGAATTTTCTTCGTTGGAATTCAAACTACATACATGATTCACAGTACCTGGCCATCATGCTCTGTATCTTGGAAATTATAACCCATAACAGATATGTGTAAATATAAAAAATGGTTCATTTTGGGGAGGGAATTTGAAAAGCTGTTAATTTTGCTGTTTTATACCTTGGTTTGGGTCCAAGTTACTTTCTTTCCCCATTCCTTCCTTCATGAGGAAAGCACTGGACCTCCGAGAACAATATCTTCATAGTAACCATGGTTAAAAAACAGGCTCTGAAGAAGTTAGGAACAGACTACAGAACAATAAAAAACAGCTTGGCTAAAAGACAGTTTAATAAATATTACAACTCCAGAGAACAAGGTGCAAACAGTAACGCTATATATTATCTGTGATAGAACACCACACTCACACACATATATATATACAAAAGCCTGTGAGGTACAACTGCTGTGGGAGGCAGAAGGCTGTAAAGGTTACTAAACATTTTACATTTCCACCAGTTGCCTCACACCCAACAAGCTTGCAGCAATAAATAAAGCTTATGAATTAATTTTTTATTACTCAGAGCATGTTTAAGGAACTGATAAACTATATATAAGGTAAAAAAGTTACAGTGGGGAACCTGGTAGCATAGTTGGTTGAGGCACTATGTTACAAGCCAGAAGGTCAGGGGTTTGAGTCCCGATGAGGTGGACTTCTTTCAATATACCTAATCCTTTGAGCCAACTATGGTCCTGGGGTCGATTCAACCCCAACAGAAATGAGTACCAGGAATCATCTTGGGGGTAAAGGGCTGCTGGTGCGTAAGGCTGACAACCTCACCGCCATCTGTGAGGCGATTGTCTAGAAAATGTGGGAGTCTCAACGTCTCACAACCTTATAGCCCTTCATGGCCTGTTACAGGGATTAAAAAAAAAAAGTATAATTGTACTAAGCACTATGCCATGCAGACATATGGGGCAGTGGAAGTGTAGGTCCACCATTGACCTCAGCACTAGATGGAGGTGAGTGGTCCCTTTCATGCTTCAGCCACTTTACTCCTAGGGAAAGAGGTCCTGGTACCCACTGGACAGTAGGCTGAGTGGGCCTTAGTAACCAGTCTGGATGCTGTGGAGAAAAGAAGACCTTTTGCACCTGCCAGGAAACAAACCTCAGCTGTCCAGTCTGTAGCCCATCATTATACTGACTGAACTATCCTGCCTTGTTCAGTTGAAACAAGTATCAGTTCAAAGCTTAAATTTGGCACCTAGGTTGCAGTCCGTTGTGACTGTTAGGTAGATTTATATTTGAAAGTATTGCAAAATGGTTCTCAGTAATGAGACAACATTTCAACTGCTAGGGCAAGTGAACTGGCACAAGCTGGCGATACGGAGAGTGACAACTACCATGGGTCACATGAACATGAAACAGACAGTCCCAAGGTCAATGTCTTTGGAGCAACGGCCACCAGGATCACCAGATCTCATTGAACCCATGGACTTTTTTCTTTTGGTGGCTTCTTAACGACAATGTTTATGCCCTTCTGTTGCCAAAGATACTATGGCCCTAGTGTCACAGAGGCCTCTGCAAAAATTGGCCATTATATTCTCCAAAAACTTATGTTAAGAGGTTAAATATCTGTTCAATGTTAATGAGGCCTTTCATGGTACAAACACTGAACTTTATAAGCTCGTCACAACATTTTTTGGGTTGATTTTTCAGAAGATTTGGATTTCTTAACTGGACTTTTCATGTGCTCTGAGTAACAACATAATTATAATGATAGACACCCTGCATTTGGACGTGGCACCAGCATACATATCCCTGGCTTGGAGACTTATCTCCCCTCCAGTGCATTCTCACAGAACTCTAAGTACCAATACTGACAATACTGGACGGAATGTGCATAAAAGTAAGGTGCAAAGGTCAGTCATGAATCAGACGCCCATTTTGAGAACCTTTTTGGTAGCATGCATCTGCTTTCATACTTTCTTCTCATAGAATTATTAGGCACTCTTTACAAAGCAAAGAGCTCCTTAAGTAGAAGTCATGTCTCACCACTTCTGAATTAAGCAACACATAAGCATTTAGCATTCAAGACCTTCACTAAAAGTTGTTTAGAAATTCTGATTTTAAGCTATACTGATCTCCAAGAAATACCACTTTACTTTAGGCTGTGGATTGAAATGTACAGTGGCCCCAGCACCTCTGGCAACCAAAAAAATTTTGGGTGGTGATTAATTTATGGCTTGACAATCTTACTTGGTCACTTGTTGATAGAGGGCCACATCCGAAGAAGTGAAGATCAACCAAATTCAATACATTGTAATAATAAATGTCTCTTTCAAATTCAAATTTTTTCTCCCATTATCTTGTGCCTGGCCTTTGGGTATTTCAAGCACACTGTACAACAGAAAGAAATGAATCTTGTGCACTGTTTGAAGGTGACAACCACAGCAAGGCACCTTGAAATAATACTGATCCAGGTTTTTTCACAACCAAAATGTTTGGCTAGTACATTTTCAAAAAGTCTTTGACTCCTGTTTAAAGCCAGAAATATACTTTTTTATGTGTATCATGAACTATTGATCAAATTGTGGTAAAATTCCATCTGACAAATCTTTACATAATCTACAGAGAAAACAGTGTTAATGACAACTGTGCACTACATTATAGAATACATATTTTGCAGTCTTGTTTAGTCTCTTGTCAGTGTTAACTGGAGTGACATTATTACAATATCATTAATTACGTTCACATTTCAATGTTTTATGAAACATAAAAGGGGTTTCATGTTCATTTTGCCATTTCTATTTACATTTGTTTTACAAACTGAATTTGAACACAGTAACATCAATGCAAGTTTTCAGCTCAGACTCAATACTGATGATACTTCTTCTTCTTCTTCTTTTGACATTTCTTCTTTTTAAGGCTCTTCACCTCTCTGTCTTCCCAAAGCCCCTCCTTCTCAGTGTCCCCCATGGTTTTCCTTCTGCGTAACGTCTTTTCCAGTTGTTCCTAGACTCATAATTACTGAACATAAATTTCTGTAATAAATTATATCATCTCCTCCTCTTCCACCTCCTTTCTTCCCACCACCCCTCCTCCTCCTCCTCACCCAAGGACTGGATGCTGCAAGCTCTTTATGAAGTGTATGCACTGTACTGGCTTACACTACCGATGCTTGTACATAATGACCTGATGATGACCTTGTAAAGGGCGAAACATGTAGCTAAATGATGACAAGACATTGTATCTGATGTCTACAGAGTTATGAACAACCAATGGCTGCATAGTACAGTACAATATCTATACTTAACAATAACATCGTTGTGATGCCGCAAGAGATCACAGTTAACACAGTGTGCCAACAGCGCACTGTAGGCTCTGCCAACAGGTCTGTTATCATTTTCCCGAAAATGCTTATCCAGAAGAACCTCCTGAAACCTGTATTACATATTTCTTTCTGGTGTCAGATGTTTAGAATGCAGTGCTGAGCTCTCAGTACATTATATACAAAAGAACACAACATGATGTTCAGGTACAACATTCAAACGCTCATGTTAAAAATGTTGACACATATCTGTGATGACTACCAACGTCTATCTTGTGGAATATTACAGGCTCTGGTGATAAAACTGTATCAGTTGGTAACACGTGATGCATTGTCGGTGAGTGTAAATGTCAAAATGAATGTGCAAACCAAGGTTCTTGTGTATTTCTTCAAACAGAGGAATAAAAATGTACTTCTATGTGCTCATGTTGCTTGATACAACTTGACAACGTGCAACACCGGTCATCACATCTAACATTATCATCATTTTCAGTACTCTTCGTTGTCTTCATCAGAAGCCGCATCTTCCTGCACTTCCTGGTAATCCAGTTCCAGAGCTGCAAGATCTTCCCGGGCTTCTGAAAATTCACCTGTGGATCCAAACGGTGCCAAAGTTGAAATCTGGGTTACTGACTAGTTCCAACGTTGAATTCAAAGGGAATGAGAATCATGAATTTGGCAGTTCTTTTTGTACATAAGGGAATCATATCAGCGAGGGTAGAGTTTGCTAGTGATAGGATGTCATACATAATACTAGGAGGTCGCTGGTGTCATATCATTGTTCTAAATGTTCACGCCCCAACAGAAGATAAAATTGATGATATGAAGGACAGGTTCTATGAAGAGCTAGAATGCGTATTTGATAAATTCCCCAAATAACATATGAAATCATTTGCACTGATCTGGTAGTACAGTTGACACGAAATGGTGAGGACAATACTGAAAGAAGATATCAGGTCTGAAAATTCAGCTTCAAGTTTCAGTTATTAAGTATAATTCCAAACATTAAGAACTGAACTACATTTAGATATTTTTATTATAATGAAGATAAGTCATTGAAGTTATTAAAAAGGAGAGCTCACTATGGATAAGAATGTGTTTCAACTTCCACATTACATAACCACCAACTCACCTTCTTCCATGCCTTCGCCAACGTACCAGTGAACAAAAGCTCTCTTTGCAAACATCAGATCAAATTTATGGTCTATTCGCATCCAAGCATCCATGATGGCTGTGGTGTTGCACAAGCAACAGACTGCTCGCTCTACCTTTGCCAGGTCTCCACCAGGAACCACTGTTGGTGGTTGATAATTGATACCAACCTAAAAAACACAATTACTATACCTACAACCATAAAGCGGAAAAATTATTGTACTTTTTGTGAGAAAAAACGTAACCTGCGTTTACACAGAGGTATTTAGTTTGCGAGATGTATTGATTTCATGCAACGTCTGTTATGCTTGCCTTGAAACCTGTGGGGCACCACTCAACAAACTGGATGGTTTTCTCCTTCTTGATCATGGAGATGGCCGAGTTAACATCTTTGGGCACCACATCACCACGGTAGAGCATGCAGACTGCCATGTACTTCCCCTTGCGTGGATCGCAGTTCACCTACTGACACATGGTAATTATAGGAACCATACAGGATACCGCCACTCTCCTATTTCAATTTGATTTCTTTCCTTTTTAATACGGTTTATTTAATGATCATCAAGGCCAAACAGTGTCAGATAATTGGATGAAAGTAAATGAATTTAAAAGGACATGGAAGTGGTTGTGGCCAATTTAAGATATTATCTTGGTATTCACCTGAAGAAAGGAAACCACAAAAACCTCAGTCAAGATAGTTGTAATTCTGACAGAGATTGAAACTGGGCATGTCCAAAATACCAGACAGAAGCGTTGCTGCAAGAACCAGACTGCTGTGACACCAACTGAGCTATCCTGGTTCCTATAATTTTATTTTTAAATAATGTAAACAAAATACTGAGAACACACTGCAATGTGTTCATTTATTATTTTACTGTCACAACTATTTAGCGAAATAGGTAAAGTGACTGGCTACGGGCTGGACAACCATGGGGTTGGAGTTCAAGTCCTGGTAGAGGCAAGAATTTTCACTTCTCCATGTTGTCCAGATGAACTCTGGGGCCCACCCAGCCTCCTCTCTAATGGATACCAGTGGCTCTTTCCCCTGGGAGTAAAGCGGCCAGGAGGTGAAGCTGACCACTCACCTCCAAGTAATGCCGAGGACAAGAAAACGTGGGTCTATACATTCACTCCCCCATATGGCTTTATGGCATAGTGCTTAATTAGTTAAGCACAGGGACAACTTTACCATATTTTATGAAAGTCAATTAGCAACATTTTTATAAATACCTTTCAAAAAAGATTATGGTGTTCTGTGATGTGATGCCAAGTAATCTGGCAGATAGGTACCAAAATTTTGGAGTAACTTGCTGCTTCCCTATTCACCCAGCTATGAGACTATATATCACATCACATTCCAGAGGAGAGTAATCTCAGTATTTACTGCCACAAGAACCAAAAATTTCATGCCTCTTATATATTACAAAATATTTTAATATTAGCATCATTATTTATGGTCGATATTTTTCCTCCTTTAACATAGCGTTCCATTCCAATAGAACTTTGAGGCATGAACAATTTATATACACACACATCATGTTATTTTGTGCGTGCAATAATGTAAGCAGTGGAATCTTCATATTCACTCTTCGCTTATCCAATTCTGACTTCTAGCCCATTTAAATACCAGCTCACACTGACAAGTTGCAAGTGAATTTAATGTTTGCTTCTTATAAGGAAAGAGTTCATCAAACTTAATTATTAAGTTTATCTAAAACAGGGCACCTCTGGAATTGTAGAATATTTCTTCCTTTTGTCCCATTCACTACATTTTGTTTTCTTACAAGTAAATTTGAAGAGGATGGATGTCAGTTAGCATGTCATTTACAATTCTTTTTGCTCAACGCATCTGCTAAGAGTATATGGTACACAATTATAATCTTGTTAAATATTATTTAAACAAATTTCAGGCTTCAAAAGGCTAGAGCAGTGGCTATGGACAGACAGATAACACAGCTGTGATGTATGTGACCACAGACTACGAAGGGAAGGTGGAGGTTCTGTTATCCGAGATCATATCTGCCTTCCATATAGCACTCCCTGCATCTTCTTAAAAAGAAAAGGTAAAGCTATCCCTGTAACATAGCCCACAGGGTTGTCTGATGTCAAGGTTCCCACATTTTCTAGACAATCGGCTCACAGATGATGGTGAGATTGTCAGGCTTACATGCCGGCCAACCACTGTTTACCCCCAGGAAGATTCCTGGTACTCATTTCTGTTAGAGGACAAGTCAACCCCAGGGCAATAGTGTGGCTGGAAGGATTATGTAAATTGAAAAATCCCAAGACCTCATTGGGAATTGAACCTGCGACCTTCTGGTTTGTGGCATAGTGCCTCAATCAATTACACTACTGTGTGCCCCCTTATATCTGCTTGTATATCACATAAAGACAGGCATAATGGTTACACTTGTACCATCTGGTTCTGTGGTTCAAAGCAGGCCTTGGTTATCTCAGCAACTGTCACTTGCTCGTGGCCAACCTTCTCTGCTGACAACACAGGGGCATAAGTGGCCTGAAAGATAAAATTTGTTTGAATATGCAACTATGTAAATGTAAAAAGAAAATGCTCAAGTGTCTTAAACAAATTTAATTTTAGCCAATTTTTACTGACTTTGTTCACCATTCCAGTTTTCCCAAATAAGAACTGTTCTAAAAAGGGAACTGTTATGGAAATGGACACAGTACAGACTGGGAGATTACTGCTCATATTTTGAGGGAACCTGATGACTCCACCCTTCAGGATTGATGAGTAAAATTTTACTATTCTATCCTGAAGATGGAGCCAGCATGAACCAGACTATAGAGCATCACATCTTAGGAGAAAATAACGTTCACAGCCATCATTATGAGGACATCAAACCTCATGGTTCTATACCTCATTTTAGAGAGAGACAGGAAATGGGAGAAATTTCAACCCTGTCAGGGTCCCAGGTAGGGCTTCCTTCATGCTCTGGGCCTGCAGCTCTACCTGGTGGTGAAACAGAGTATAAATCTCTTCATATTCTCTCTACCTGGAGATCGAAAATAAACTATTTTTGAAAGATTGTGATCTTACATAAAACAAGTTCTTGGAAGAACTACTAATCACCTACTTTTCTGTCACTACATACTGAGTATCTGATATGACATAGACCACAAAGAAAATTTCGCATCCAAGAGTTTTTCCAATGTTGCGGGTGTATTAATTGATGTGGGCACATGTTTAGTGAGCTGTTGCCTAGTGATGCCTGTTTCTTCTGGCTCTACTATTCCAGCTTTCATGCATTAGGAGAATATATAAACATACAGACAGCAAGATGATCTTACAAGTCTCCTTTTTAAAAAAATAAAAAGAGGCTTATGTGATAACCTTGCTCTCTGTCTGCCCATCTGTCTGTGTATCCCCGTAACTTTGGGGTCTTATGAGATCACCTTGCTGTGTGTCCCCCTTAATGTTTTCGTTTTATATGCAGTCTGTGTCATATTAGAGGAAATTGGGCAAATAGTTCTTCCCAGAACTTCCTGAATTTTTTTTCAAAACAAGGAAAGTAGGTTAACAAGTGGGACAATGGTCAAAGTCTAAATAAACAGCCTTAAATGCTGTGTCAAAACACCATTAAACAACTTTAAAACTCAACTTAAATAAATTTGCTATCACAAGTGAACCCGACATACCAGAGGGAAATGGATGCGAGGATATGGCACCAAGTTAGTCTGAAATTCAGTCAGATCTACATTCAGAGCTCCATCAAACCTCAAGGACGCTGTGATGCTGCAAGAAATATAAACATGTAAACAATTACAATGACAAGATGCAGGTACATACTCATCTAACTGAAAACTCGGGTCAGGGAAAGAACGAGCACAGATTCTCCATCATCCATCTCCTTAGCTGCTACATCCCTTCCTCCCACTTCTAAGTGTCACTTGTATTTTAACTTCTATTCCTTACAGGCTCTCCTCTGTCTGCATTCTTGGTTTGTTAAAAGTGTTGTCTGAGGGGATGGGGGCACTGTGGTACTGTGTATGATTTATGAGCCTCACACTCCCCAGCTCTGCTGTGGAAAGGAACTTCGGCAGGTAAGTAACTAGTATCACATGACAGGTATCCATCTAACAGACAATAATCGCCCTGAGCTCTGTATTCTCTCTACAGACCACTATGCATTACCAAAAATCTTTCTTTCAGATGGCAGAACACAGCAGTGCACATGTGCAGTGTTCTAACAGCCACCACTCCTCTCCCTGCAAACCCCTATCTGTGTGATAACTCAAGAAATATGATGCGAACAGCAGGGTGCGAGTGTAAGGTACCAATCTCAACCCACACCAGCCCTCATCCATGTTCACTCTTTCCTGTACTGGAGAGCAACTTTCTTCGGGTATCATTTATGATGATGTCAGTATCTAGAATACTCGTATACTGTGCTGAATGGCAAGATGACTGATGAAAAATGAATTGTGGGGATTTGGAAAGAAACAGTTATAACCTAACAAAGGTGCTATTTGTCTGGAGCAACTGAGGAAAACTGTGAAAACATTTCAGTCAGGATTGCTGGTGTCCAAGCCGAGATTAAAACCAAGCAACTCCTGAATAAAAACCCAAAATAAATTAACTGACCACGAGCAGAAAAGTCCTTCTAGAGAAACTAATAATCGCTCCGCTAGCCAAGAAATTTCCTGCCTCTATGAGGCTGTTATGGTTCCTTACCGTGCCCACAAAATCACATAAACCCAAGGCCCTGCATAACACTTCATAACACATGCATAATTTTACGATAAGGAGTTGCTAGACCCCAACCCAACTTGCTGGTTGTTCATGACTCTTTATTTCAATATTTATTTTCTGTGATTTAGGGGGACACACAGTAGTGTAGTTGGTTGAGGCACTATGCTAAAAGCCAGAAGGTAGCAGGTTTGATTCCCCGATGAGGTCATTGGATTTTTCAATTCACCTAATCTTTCCAGCTGCACAGTGGCCCTGGGCTTGACTCAGCCTCTGACAGAAATGAGTATAAGGAGTAAAGGTGTGGCCAGCACATAAGGCCAAAAGCTTCACCACAATCTGTTAGCTGACTGTCTAGAACACAAGGGAGCCTCGACATCTCATGACCATATGGGCCTCTATGATCTGTTATAGGGATACCTTATATTTACTTGTGACTTATTTAATGATGGTGTCAGAAGCTAAAGACTATGCCATGAAATGTATGGATGATTAGCTGCTGATGAATTAGGAAGGCTGCAAAAGGAAGAGATGAAGGCCTAATTTGAGGTATCTTCCTGATGTGTTTCTAGACACACCAAAGAAAACCAGGATAGCTGGTCTCCAGTTCCAGATAAGAACCCAGGATCTCCAAAATACAAAGTAGGAGTGATACTCATGTTACTTGAAGAAACAGGTTGGGAGAATGTGAATTGGATTCATCTGGCTCAGGACAGGAATCAGTGGTGGTATCTTGTTACCACAGTAATGAACCTTCAGGTTACATAAAAAATGTTGGGAATTTCTTGAGTAGCTGAGCAACTATTAACTTAGCTCCATTGAGTTAATTTTAATCTACATATATATCATGGATGGAGGGAAATGTGAACAGAACTTTCAGCAAAGTGGGAAAATTGTGTGGAAAGATCAATGACAAAAACTGAATAGTCACATACCTTGATACAATCTGTCCAATAAGCCTGTTGAGGTTCGTGTATGTTGGCCGATCAATGCTGAGGTTCCTTCTGCAGATTTCATATATGGCTTGATTATCAACAATGAAGGCAACTTCGCAGTGCTCCAAAGTTGGGTGTGTATATAGTATAGCATTGTAAGGTTCAACAACTGCGGTTGAAACCTACAGTACATCCAAATTCATGTTTCATTAACAACACAATCAACTAACTGCATGTAATTATGCTTTTATTCTTTGCAGTGGGGTGAGACTCAGTCCCGCGGTCCTGTGGCCTCAGATGGGCCTGCTGCATCAGCTCTTGATGATATGAAGGTTGTTGAATTAGACCTGATTGGGGATTCTTCTAGGAGCAGAGGTCATTAAAAATAGCCCCCATCAGTGTTGAGGCAGGTATCCTAGCACCAGCCGAAGGACATTCTGTGCAAAGAGATCCCTGGGCTGTAGCTCAAACCACCACCAGATTCTCAACATCTTTGTTCACCCCAAATCAATGGCTATATAGCACTTTCTTGAGGGGGTTGACCACTTGGAAGTCTCACAGCGACAGGTCCAGACCGAATGGGGGTTGGTCTGGCCTCTTCCGCTGCATGGAGTGAAATGCGTCCTGAATAATGAGGCCTTCATGAGAATGATGGGACGCTATCTCTTGTTGGTGGTATGAAAGTCTTAGTGGTTTCCACAATAAAACTGTATGTAGGTGATGTTGAGGATCTTAGGGGTGTATATTCAGACTGGAGGAAGATGTCAAGGCCATCATAGTGCGCTGGTTCTTGCAGTAGCCCAGGGAGTTCTTTGTAGATGGTATCTATTAACTGGTGCATCAATGGGACCCCTGCTTCAATGTCTGTTTGGAATATTTTCAATTGCCTCCACAGCTTTGCCCTGAAGATTCCAACTGGTTTCATTTTAACAACCATCATAGATAACACAGAATATTGCAGCAATATTAAATGGTACAGAGGAAAATGTTACTACTTGGAGAAAAGAATGCCTCATTGCCTGTATGTCCACCATTAATCTAGTATGGATTGTCCTGGGACTGGATCCATGTTGAGAAGAAGGAGACTAACCACCAGCTAGAACTGATCATGATGTACCATTGTCTAAAACATTCAGAAACATAGCTGATGATCAGCCATTTTGCATAACATTAATTCAAATGAACTGCTAGCATTCAAGGATTAGGAAGTGTGGAACAAAAACAAAAATGCTGAAAGACAATAAATACTCACTTTACACATGATGGCTGATGTATTCTGGGATGTGATGATATGTATTTTTGCCTTGTGGTTTATTTTATGACACAGTCAATATCTCAGACTACCCGGTGTTGAATTATAGTATAACTGGCGAACAGTGAACTGGAAGTGATTTGGAATGTGAGGCACTATCCAGGTACTTGTATGGAGAGACAGAAGTAAACCATGAGAAACATCAATTTGGACACTTGGTGTCGTGGACACGATTCGAACTGAACACTTCTGAACACAAGCCTACAGCATTAACAGTATATGAAACCGCTTGGTTGTGACCTTATGCAGTCAGCTACATTGTTACCAACATTTCAGTGACACTCAAAATTTAGTAAAAAAAAAAAGTAAAGCTATCCCTGTACCAGGCCGTGAAGGCCTATAGGGTAGTGAGACGTCAAGGCTCCCACATATTCTAGACAGTCAGCTCAAAGATGGCGGTAAGGTTGTCAGCCTTATGCACTGGCTGCGCTTTACTCCACAGGAAAATTATTTAATTAAATCCTGGTACTCATTTCGGTTAGAGGCTGAGTGAACCCCAGGGCCATAGTGTGGCTGGAAGGATTAGGTCAATTGAAAAAAATCCAATGACCTCACCGGGACTTGAACCTGAGACATTCCGGCTTGTAGCATAGCCCCTCAACCAACTACACTACCGCGTGCTCCCAAAATTTAGCAAACTTGTCTAAAACGTCTTTGATGTTATATTATCACCCGACAGTGACACACTCATTACATCACCATTCGCCAGTTACTAGATTCGCCACACTGGAGATCTCAAACACAGAGGACATCACTTGCACAAGGCACCTACCCTAGGTGTGATGTACACTCAAAGATGTTTCAGGCAGACAATAATGATCTGCAAGGCAAAATCATGTTGCATCCCACAAGACAAAAACCTTCATGGCCAATGCTGCGAAACCCTAAACTCTTGCACTCAACTTACAGTTAAGTAGGTTGTGTGCAATTATAATTTAACAGCTACCAACCATTCAGCAACCACTCCAACCACCTGCTCACCAATCCCACAGACAGGAACCCAAAATTCTCCCCTCATAGATAACAGGCACAGTCACAATAACTGGAGATCTGTCACTACACATGACACATCATTTTTGACCATCTGTTTATTTTGAAATTCTTCAAATTAAATTGGAGAGATACCAACATTCTATATAGTCACCCACTACATTCACAAATTTGCTATATATGACTGAGGCCACACCAATACATTATTACAAATTTTCTTTGCAAAATTCTATCTTTTGGGATACAATGTCTTGTAGTCCGTTGAAAGTCAATTGGTATTCTGGAGGAACATTTTTGCCTCCATCTTCAGGGTCAAAGAATAAGATAGCATAAAATAGGTAGAATGCTACTTGCTTTATGCCGGCTTCTTATGTGGCTTATTCTTTGGCGACACGTTCCTCCAAAACGTCACTTAACTTTCAACGGACTATATGGCAATATTTTTCTGAAGACAGAACTCTTCATAAGCACTGCTATTAGGACCTCAAATCTCGCATTTCTGTGAAAAGTCCCATGATGGATATTTGAAATCTCCCTGCAGCTTCTGAGAGTATAACCTACACATCTTAGTCCACATTTCACTGCTGTACGGGCAACTTCTTGAGAAGTTCAGTACACAGCTCTTTCGAATGGTACATATGTATATTTGTCACAGTCCATGACATTATACTATTTCTGGCCATCTTCGAAAGGTACATTTAGTGAACATGAATGTGTAACTGCATCTGCGATGTATGAGAATCAAGAAAAATTATTCTTGAAGGGTTCCTGTGATGATACATTCACTTGGGATTACTGAGTTTCTGGACCATCATCTAACATCCTGCAAGAACAGCGTTTCAGAGACTGGATCAGTTTCCATTTTTGGGTGACATGACGTGGAGGCACCTACTCAGGTTAAGTTAGAAAGCATTAATCCCAGTTAATGTACAACTGAGAAAATTCTTTCTAATGGATGCAACTCAGTAGGTGTGTCTGCAGCTTTTCACCTACAACTAGAAACAGAACCAATTTCTGAAATGTTGGTCCTGTTTTAAGAACGCAAGACAATGGATAAGATCAAGAGACTGAGCATCCTCAGAAAAATCACGTTTAAATTAAGATTACTGTCTTCTGGGACATGACACAATATACTTTACTAGTAGACATGTACAAATAGTTTGGAGAAGCCTGCTGCAACAGGTACCTCAAAAATGTTGTTACATACCTACCAAACATGGCATCAGTCAACAGAAGACTGTAGCTTTACTATTCATGACAGTGTGAATCTTAGATCTTGTGTTTAAATTATTTTCTCCTGTTTCTTAACCTACCCGGCAAAATGAATAATAGCACTATTTCCTGAATGGCCTGTTTTTTGTACACCAATGTACACCATTAATGGAAACAGAAGAATTAATCAGTTTTGCAATAACAGTTTTAAATTTACATCAAAATCTCAATTAGCTATCTACTTCAGGCAATTCCATTTTACTATCTTTCATAGCTATAGACAATTCAGAAGAAAGTATGGTGCATGATACTTTATATAGGAAATAAAAATTGTGGAAAATTTTAGAAGCAAAACCAACTACGACATGCCGCTTTGAATATTCATATTCTCTACGTCAGAAATGTAATACTGACTGTTTGTGAACTGATGTGAATGAACAAATAATTAAAACAAAATTTCATAAGCTACAATATTAAAAAATCAGTGGTATAATACAGTGGAACCTCGCTTAATGAGCACATCTCATAACGAGTAATTCACATAACAAACAAAACAAATTGTAAAAAAATGACTCGCTTAATGAGCGATGTTTCGCATAATGAGTGACGGAGGGGAAGTCCCAGATTGTGCACTTGCTACATCAGTCTGTGTTTAGCACTCATTCCGCTAGCATCTTAGTGTCGCTTGTGATCACACATTTTTCCAAACTTGTGTTCAGACATATTATTTGTGATCTTTTTGGTGCAAAGTTTAATAACCCTTGCAAAAATGTCCCCAAAGAAAAAGCCGCAAAAAGTCAGCCATAAGAGAATAAAAATAACCGTAGAAATGAAACGTTAAATCACTGAAAAGCGAGAACGAGGTGTGAGCGTGGCTGATCTAGCACGCACATACAGTCGGTCTACATCAACGATTTGCACGATTTGGAGTTGCATTGTGTTTCACAGCAAGAAGTTGTGGAGGAGAGTTTGTCAGAAGAGGAGGAGGAGGTAACAGCAAAGCAACAATCTTCTGGCGCAATAAGAGAAATGCTGAAAACATTGGAAACTGTTGCATCGTACACTGAGAAGCATCACCTTAATAAGGCAGTGGCTATGCGCGCTACAAATTTATTTAATGATAATGCTGTGTCGCATTTTCACCAAATTTTGAAGCGTCGGCAAAAACAAATGTCTCTAGACAACTTTCTAGTAAAAAAGAATTAGATATGTATTGTCGCGTATCGGGCGTATATCGCGACAAATAAATTCTCGATGTATTCGATGTAGCGAATTTTATTTCACATTCGCACTTACAATCACCCAAATTACAGATTTACGGTTACTGCTATCTGCAGTATCACAATTAGTACACTCGAAATGCCAGAATACCACTGACTAGTTGCTGGCTAACTCGGCGGTAGCTCCAGGACTCACTGACTGACTCGGTACAACTGACTCGTACCAGCTGTGCAGCTCACTTATATAGCTGCAGTGCTTGCTTGTTGCCTAATGAGTGCCACGTCATCCTGTTACGTCACCGCTGTTGATTCGCCTTGCATAGTTACCCGGTTACGGGGCTCGGCTATCTTCGGTTCCGCTCGTGACGTCACCGCGCATAGCTGCCAGGATGCGGGGTGATTACTCGCCTATTACGCGAGCGTTACGTTACCGCTGAGGGGTGGGAGG